GGGGGGGGGGGGGGGGGGGGAAATACCTACCAAAAGAGGCTCCTGGGGGCTAATTGGTCTCATGTTAAAAAACAAAAGAAGCCCAGGAACCTTGGCCTCTCACGCAAACCCAGCTTCAGGGAGAAAAACTATCTGCCTTCTGCACTGAAATGCCTGCCTGCCAGCATTGTGTTCCTGCTGGGTGAGCCAACTCATAAAGGAATTCCTGGAATCATATTTCACCCAACAGGATGGAGATAACCCCTCTGTCCAGTCGGAGCTGAGGAACTATAGTCTCTGTTAGCATCTTTGAAATATATATATTTTATTGATTTCAGAGAGGGAGAAATAGAAACATCAATGATGAGAATCACTAATTGGCTGCCTCCTGCATGCCCCACACTGGGGATCGAGCCCACAACCCGGGCATATGCCTTGATGGGGACTTGAACTGTGACCTCCTGGTTCTTAGCTCTGTTAGCATCTTTGATGAATCAGAATGGCTCCACTCCTTAGTGCTTTTTGGGCCAATCGAACTGATGATTTGGGGTACTAATTTGCATGAGAACAGGCTAGTTAAGGGTCAGGGGCTATATAAGTTCCATTATGGCCAGGCAATGCTTGTTCCTTTTCCACCAAAGACTGATTCCTTGGCTGGAGCTGAAACAATTTGCCAGAGGGCTGTGTTGTTCTATTTTGAGGTGTTTGCTCTGAATAAAGTATCTTTCACTGCACCCTACATTGGGGATTTCTGTTGGCATTGACTTGGCACCATGATGATTGGTTGACAGTTGTGACCACTGCCCAGCCCCCCTACTGCTGGCCTTGCCTGGGTCATGGGCCAGAGCTCTGAGATGTTCAGATTGCTCAGGCCTGGATCAAGCCTCTCCTGAGAAGGGGAGGACTACAGGTCCCAGGAAATAGCGTGGATGCTCCCCAGAAGGGAGACAAGACAGGCACAACAGGGCCACTACTCAACTACCTGTCTGGATAATGAGCAACAGTGAGAGAAGTTTACAGGATAGATTCTCAGCTCCATACAAAATTGAAATGGCCTTATTGAGCAACAGCTTTCCTCCCCATAGCACTTACTGGGCACCCGTGTGCCCGGACCCTGTGCTGAAACACTGGCGCAACATCACACCAGCCTGGAAGGGATTCTCCCATTTTGCAGATGGGAACACTAAGGCCCAGGGCCCCAAAGGCACGACCTCCTGGCTCCCTGAGACTGCAAACAGGCGACGCAGAGCTAGAGGCGGGAGCTGATAATTAAATTTGCGCGCTAATGGAGGCCTCTTTGGCGGCCGTGGGCACCTCCAAGTCACCGGGTCGTAGCTCCGCCCCC